CATGTTTGTCACCTGACCAGGTTTATCTATGTGTCACATTATCAACTCAACAGCTTTGCTTTCATTAGCTCACAGTATATGTTTAGTTTTTATCACTGGCCAACTCTGTACACAACACATTGTACTGCTGATATTGAACGGTTGACATCAAACAGTCCCGATCTGGAAGATTATTCGATTCCTCACTTGTCATTGAACTTGTTAACGTACATGTAACATGTTTTCAGAACCTGAATGTCAGTTAAAGAGTCTCTTCTTTTCAGAGTTCATGACATTGAACTACCATTTACTCATTCAAATTTCAAATTTCTGTAAAACCAAAACCTCTTTAAACCAGACACCGTTTTCTAGTTCTTTTTCAATAGGTTGGTATATGCGTAACACATTTAACACAAAATGTTTCCCAATTCCTTTGAGCTGTACGTCTTTTACTCCTCACAGGTGATTTTGAAGATTTTGATTCCCGCGTGATACAAGTCAAGCGTGTCTTTAATATGACTGCTACTGTGGGACGAAAACGAAGTACATTCGCTGTCGCAGTTGTAGGAAATGCAAACGGTGCTTTCGGTGAGTCTCTGTGAAATAAGAATTAATTTCGTTGGAAGCACATGCTGCGATCAGTGTACATGATGTATGTGTTGTCTTACTGTCATCATCGCATCCTTTTAGTGCTCGGTTTTGTGACAATATGTAGACAATACTTGCCCAAAATTTGAATGCAATGCTGCACATCAGTTGTGGCATTTCAACATTATAACATTACGTGGTATTTCAATTTTCTACCGTAGTGCTTATAGTTGGAGCATGAAATTCTGTAAAGTTTTATAACAAATATTATCGATCAACACTTAAGTAACACAGAAAGGTGGTTAGGTCCTACAGGTGTAACTGTTAAAATCAAATTTGTTGAATTAAAATATTTGCTAAAACAGATCGCTCTCATGTGGCCATGTTGGGAGATGTAGTTATGAAGCCCATTATTCCTTTCACACTCATACAATTTTAGGAATAGTTGGAATGAATTATTAGAGTAAATCCAACATTTGTTAATATTCCCTTACCAAAATCAAGTATACTGAAAGTATACCCAAGGTACGCTCTGCATGCGTAAGTTAGGTATACCTAATGTGTACCAGAAATGAAACAACTGGTATACCTTAAGTAGTCCAGAATTGGGCACATTGATGGGTATACTTTGGGTATACCTCTTTGGAAGAAGTATACCTTAGGTACACCTATTTATTTCTGGAAAGTATATCCTAGGTACATTTATTTCGAAGAGTATACCTTTGATAAACCTCACAAAACAAACAAACAAAAGAACTCAACAGGTTTAACCCTTTTCCGGTCAGGGGAGTTTCACGCTATCAGGTTAAGTCGTTGAAAAACGGTCATGATTCAATGCACTCCAGTAGCCAGCATCTGTGCATGATATCCTGCCAGACATTTTTGCAAAAATAGGCCATAGTTAACAGACTGTATCGACCACAGTTTTCACATTTTTTGCAATCTGTTTGCATACACACTTCATTACCACCATGGACAACAATTTCTCGTATAAAAAAAATCACCGTTTTATTTCAATACACATTTTTTACTGTCGTTAAGTAACGATGTTTTGCCCTTTGTACAGTCTCAATAAACACGTGTTAAACATTGAAATAAATATTGCTTAATTGAAAACACATTACAAGCAAGTACAAGGTCACTACATGAATGCAAGTTCGAAGTAAAAAGAAAAAAAACGCGTGAGTATGGGGATATTTGGGACATGTACGGGGGAAAACGTGTTTGACGTACTCGACCCGTTAGCGTACATTTCAAATTGCAACGTATATTCAACGACTTGAACTACATGTGTAACATATTACAACGTACTTTCCGTGACTTAACTGATGTTATATTCAAGCTCTAACGTATATTAACCGACTTGACCGTATGAGTAAGTCCACACTTACAACGTATATTTAACGACTCAAACTGAGACTGAAACGAACGAGAACGTAACTGCGACGACTTGATCGGGGTTACCTTCACACGGCAACGTATATTCACCGACATGACCACATTAACCAACTAAATATTTCAACGTATATTTAACGACTTGAAATAAAACGAACTAGCGAGAACGTAACTGCAGGGACTTGGCGTGTATATATACTCACGCAGAAACGTATTTCCACCGACTAGACCCGATGAACTATCCTGACATTAAAACGTATAAATACCGACTGAGCATGAAACTAAATTAACGATAACGTATTTTCACCAACTCAAACTATTGTACAGTTCGTGACGCTGTAATAAGTCCCAAATTTATTTGTTGTACGCCTTTCTTAGTCGTCCACCCCGGCGGGCTGCTCCCATGAGTCTGCCTGATGTCGAGGGCT